CATCCTGCAGCCTGTTTCTTGCTCTTATTGCCCACGAACGAGCGAAAGCTGAACCGGCGGGACTCCGAGCACTGAGAAATTCATCTTTATTTTTGCTGCTGCATTGAGCAGTTTCAAGAGAAAAACTCCCTGTGTGCAGTGCCAAGGGGGTTACGGTTTATCCTAGAAGACGCGCAGCCTCCGGGGAGGTCCCTCCTGGTTCTCCAGCTTACGTGTTATGTGGCGGGGAAGGATGATGTATGGGTCCCAAACTGGGGTTCCCCGGGACATCACGCACTCACCCCCTTTCTCCCCGGCACCAGGCTTGAACGAGGAGCTGGTACAGCTGCTGCTCATTCGGGACGAGCTGCACACGGAGCAGGACGCGATGCTGGTGGACATCGAGGACCTGACCAGGTGAAGGAGGCTCCTCGGGGTATTTCTCTCTTCTCTCAGGTCCCAGCTCGCCGTCAGCAGCGTGTAGGGGTTTTCTTTTAGCAGAGTTTCGGTACTAAAAGAGGGTACACCCCTCTCGCCAGCCTCCGCCGTCAGGAGGACTTGGCTGACAGGAGACTTTCTGAATCCTCTTAAATATTAATATTCAGTAGCCGATGAAACGGCAAGCCTTGCAGAATATAAGTATTGTTTGCTAAAGGACTTCATCTCCCAGGCGGCAAGGTTTAAAGAGGCGTTTTCCTTTGAGATAACCAGTGACGCGCTGCAGAAACGTTAAGAAATATTGAAAGGTTTTTGGGGAAAAAAAAAAAAAAAAAGCTGAAAAAGATGATACTGGTTACTGTCAGTGCATGAAACTGCAGTTTCAGAACTGAAGCATTAAGCTTGCAAAAAATACAGCCTAAATTTGTTTCTATTTTAAAACATCGTGGTGCTGCAGAGCAGCTGGTTGAGATTTGCCTGGAAAAAGTTTCCGCCAGCTGGGGTGGCCATGAGTGATTTGGGGAGCAGCTCGTGTGCTGCCCGGGGGACGGTGGCGGGTTGTCACTTCTGCGTCTTGCGAGACACCGTCACTGCTTCCCTTAACGAAGAGCAAGTGATGGAAGGGGGAAGATTTGGGAGGAGGGTGGACCCGGCTCAGCAGCCACACGCCAACGCCGCCTCGCATCGATCTGTTTGTCATCCCGCACTTTGGGAAACGCTTTGCTTCCCGGATGCAAGTAACGGCCGTTCAGTAAATGACATTTATTGGGAAGCTGGTCGGGACGGTGGGGGCTTTGGTGGGTGGCGGGG